CATATGCCAAAATTTGGGATGATTTATTAAAAATGTTTCCCCTGTTACCTATTTGGGCATTCCTGACCGCCTTTTCCTGTCCAGCCTGTCTTTTATATGAAGCTCTTCCAGAATTGACAGGTTGGTTCTATGTTCTGTCCAGGACACGCGTAGAATTCTTCTATATATCCACATTTTGAAGGCTTCGATCTTACTCCTATCGATTTTTTTGAGAGTCCATGTTTCAGCTGCATATGTAGCAATGGGAAAAATAATACTATCATAGGCCGATTTAAAATCTACGAAAAGATGGTACGTGTCGATATTGAAGTCATTGGTTTTTCCAGTACTTGCCTTAGTACAAAGATCTGGTCTGTTGTTTATGTACCACCCCTAAAACCACTTTGATATTTGCCAAGAAGCTCCTCTGAATATGTACTCAGGCGACCATATAAAATATTCGAAAATATTTTGTATGCTATAACAAGGAGGGTTATTCCCCTATAGTTTCTACATTCCAATTGATCACCCTTTTTGTGTAGCGGGCAACGAATCCCAATACACCACTCTTCCGGGATTTGTTCATCATTCCAGGTTCTCAGTATGATTTTATATATATGATTAGTCAGAGTAGCACCTCCACATTTAATAAGTTCAGCTGGTATACCATCACTTTTTGGAGATTTATTATTTTTTAGGTGTTTGTTTGCATCCCATACTTCTTGAATTGATAGAGGCTCCAATGGTGTATTGTTGTTTGTTCCTGGGGGTGGTTGATTAGGATCTTCTACTTCGATAGTAAGTAGTTCTTTATAGTGTTCCACCCACCTTTTCAATACTTCTTCTTTTGTATTGAGTATATGCCCTCCTTATCCTTACATAGTCCGATCCTTGGTTTAAATTCTTTTCTTGCATTATTTAGAATTTTCTTATTTGATTTTCCTTTTTTAATGCCTCAATTTCTTCCAATATTCTATTTTCATAAGTTCGCTTTTTTCTCCGATGGATGTACTTCTCTTCTCTTCTGAGATCTTTATATTTTTGTTCTTTTTCTCGGGTTCTTTGCTGCATCAGTTTATATGCATTGTTCTTTCTTCTTGTAATGTCCTCGCACTCAGCATTGAACCACGCATTGCGTGGTGGTGGTTTTTGCGGTCCTAGAATGTTATTTGCTGCGTCTTAAATATAATTTTTACACATTTCCCATTGTTCATTAATTGTTAGATTCTTTGTACTTATGTATTTAGTTTCGATATAGTTTTGAAACCTTTCTATGGTTTGCGGATTGTTGAGAAGTTCAATATTAAGGCGCCTTGTTTTGGTACTTCTCTCCTTCTTCACATTTGAGATTCTAGCCCGAATTCCTGTGACAACTAGATAATGATCTGAATCAATATTGGCTCTTCGATAGGTGCGGACATCCATAAGGTTGGAGAAGTGTCTAGCATCTATGATCACATGATTAATTTGGTTGTTCGTGAATCCATCAAGCGAGGTCCAAGTCCCCATATGTATTTTTTTGTGTAGAAAACATATGCTTCCTACGATCATGTTCTTTGAGGCTGCGATATATTATAGGTTCTTACTTTGACTTTTATATTGGTATGTACGGTTCAATCCATATCATTGGTTTCTTTCATCTGATTTATATGCTGCCTCCATCATTGGAAATTAGAGGTTATGATGGCAAACATTTCTCTGTTTCAAAATTCTTCAAAGCCTACTCCTGTTAAGATTCCAATATTACGCAGTCAGGACGCAGCCTGGATATGTTTAATTCCTCCCTTGCCTCTTTAAATTCAATACTTGACATAAAAGTGCACAGGTAATAATCTTATTATTCCATTATAAGTAGTCTATTATTTCAGAGAGTATTGGTGTCTTTACCTTAAAGATTCATTATATCTCTTCTTGACTTGGTGGAAGGATATGACTTGTACAGGTTATTTCATTAAGCACTCTGTTTTATAGTGTAGCTATTGCTAACTACATGAATTCCAGAGCTGGATGCCGTAGGTTCAAATTGGTTTTAAACCGGCTTTATAGACCAGTAGTTTATTCTCTGGAAACAACTTTTCTGCCGATTGCAATGATCTACTATAGACAGCTTAGCTTTAATCCTAACTGCTTGCGTTTTATGAATATATGTTTATGCCATATCAGTCTCTTGTATTCCCAAGTATTTTACATCTGCGGCTTGAGGTAAATTGTTGTTATTTAATTGTACTGATAGACAAATCTCTTTATGGAGTGTGAATATTACATGGGTGGACTTTAGTTCATTCGCATTCATGCGCCATTTCGACAGCCATTTCCGACTCTTGTTGAGACTGGCTTGTAGTTGCCTGATGCCACCTTTGGGTTTTCATGACATGTGAGGATAGAACAGCTGTGTCGTCTGCAAATGTGGCTACTGTAACCTTTGGGGTAGTAGGAAGATCACTAGTATACAGCAGATACAGAAAGGCTCCAAGTACGCTGCCTTTTGGTACTCCTGATTCGATGGAATTCAAGGGAGAATATTCATTGTTTTGCCTAACAAGGAAGCATATATTGGTTAGGTAGGATTGGAGTAGCAGGAAATGAGGGTATGGGAGTAGCTTCTTACTTTTGTAGCAGAGTCCAAAATACTAGACCTTGTCGAACGCTTGTGACATATCAATGAAGGCAACAGAACAGTATCGTTTTTGTTGGAAGTCATGCATTTTGTTTACGATTCTGTATACGTGCTCTTTGGTACCATGTTTATTTCGAAACCCAAATTGATAGTCTGGAATTAAGTGCACAATTTCTGCTATAGATTTTAGCTTTTTTAAGTATATTTTCTCAAAGACTTTTGAGATGATTGGAAGCATACTAATCGGCCGATAGGAGATGACTTCTAATTGTTTGCTTGGTTTAGTAGCTAGGTTGGATTAGAGCTAGATCCTCTGGAAGTATCCAAGTTTGAGGACAGCATTGAATGTATATGTTCTTAATTTAAGCATTTTTCTGTAGATTCTTGTAACACGCTACCTGTGATAAGATCATATTTCGGGGCTTTCTAAATGTTAAGTTTATTCATGATTATATTTCTGGTTTCACTTATTAGATTATTTTTATCTTTATGTCTATTTGGAATGGTGCATTTAGTGTTTCCTTTATTTCTTTATCTTCTGAGCGTTGCTCTGGATCTTTGGACGGAATACTTTTTTGGTGTTCAGTAAAGACTTCTGTTATATACACGCACAGACACACAAATTTATATAGGTATAACAGTATAAGACTATTCAAAATATAAAAAGTTATCTGACATCATTGCTGTCCACTCATTAAAGCCGTTATGTTGAAGATTGTACATTTCGATCCTTCTGCAGTTTTAAAAGTTCAGTTTATCACGTCTGGATTAAGTGCTTCCTCTACCAATCCCTCTCGTTGGCAAAAGTACACTCAAAAAGGTACTTTAGACCTGCACCTAGGTGGAAATCATCATCCATACCCTTCCCTTTCCTTGAATCTTTCCCTGCATAATCATTTGGGGCAAAGTGTATCTCTGTCCATCTGTAATGTGTTCGATGTACTTATTTCAATCTCAGAACCCCTTTGCTTGTGACGTGTATTTCATAATTTATGTCCGAATTATCTTCTAGGTACTATCACTACATTATCCATAAGTTTTGTGATCAAATGTCTCATAGCTTTCTTAATATCATGATACCAGTACTAATTTCAGTATAAATATTTAGTATATTTTGTTGTTTATTTAACAATAAATGTACGGAAAAATATGGGACGAAAGTTTCTAGAAAAGATGTATAAAAAGAAATACTAAAAAAATAATACTGTACAACTGAGTATCAAAGGACCCAACATACCTACTTGGTTGGACCTAACGAAAGCCTTTGTCGATCGTTTAATATCTAGGGATTTGTTTAGGAACGTCTCCATTTAACCATAATTACGGATCATTATAAAGAATAAAATACACTGTACATAGTAAGACATAACTCACATACATTGTGTTTATTGTATTTTTATTTATTAAGGACCTGAGAACACGTCCTCTCTCACCGGGGTTATCCGAAACTTTTGCCACTTTTGACCTATTGATTTAAAATGTAATAAAGATCTTCATCCTATGAGCCAAATTTTAAGACTCCTGGCATTTCTTTCAAGAGTTACTGCACAGAGGGGCAAACTGACAAAGACACGATTTCAAGAAGGACCTGTATGGTCCTTAATAAACTAAAAGGTTGGACCCTGACTTGTTTGGACGACCCTTGTTTTGTATCATAGGAGGTTCTTTATTATACGTCATTGGTTATAATTAGCTATACAAAAAATTATTGCTTCCCCAGAAGCAAAATAGACTGCATTATTCGTGTTTCTTACATCCACAATATTATGTTCCTACTTTTACTTATGTATCGTCGCAATCGTAAGACATTTTTCCACAAATATGAAAAGACCTTAGTGATGAAACTAAAATAACCATGAGAAATACCTATTTATTTTTCAATATTATTGTTAATTGAAAACAAACATGTAAAATATACACTTTATTATATTCCGGCCTGCAATGCAGTTATTTATTTGTTGACCTAAGCATTCGGCTTCCTTCGCCGACCGTTAAACCGTTTGCATTCATTGAATTCCAGTTGGCCTAAGCAATAATGCCGTCTAATATGACGCATTCTGTTAAAAAATAAATTGGGCTATTCTAGAACACATTTGAACGAATTGGCACCGACCAATTGAATAATTGATATTACGCAGCAAAGCGACAGCGCATATTGCCAACAGTCAACATTTTACACGACCACGTCCTTCCTAAACCGAATCACAAGCCAAAGGTTAGAAGTTGCGTATCTGATCCACGTGTTCAAAGGTATATATTAAATTTGTATCTTGCGAGCGTTCATTTAGTCGCATCTCGTTGAAGGAGTGTGCGCGTCTTGAAAAAAATTTACATTGCATGCATCTTTGCGAAGAAAACTCTGATTTGAGTTGTATGTGCATTACTACGTATGCATCTTTACCAGGTTATGTACCAGATCAAATCCTTGAGGCGAGCTTGGAAGATAGTTTTAGATGTGTTTCGTTAAATCAAAACCAACAAAGGAACAGTTCGCTTGCTAAGAATCAACAATTAGGAGTACCCGTCACAGCCAGAGAAATCGTTTTGAGAAAATGTGGACAAACGGAGCCTATTCAGTTTTCACAATGTTTTACAGACAGGTAAGTCAAGTTTTATTTATTACAAAATGGTGGAAGTGAAAAAACAATGACTAATTTTGTAAATATTCTCAGAAGTGTCAGAATTGATATGTCAAAAATAGTTTTTTTGTTTATATTTATCTTAACAATGTTGTGAAATATTGACTGCTTAAATATTCGGGCAATGGTTCTACTTTCGACCTATATACCAACTTTACAATTTTTCTTTATTGACTGGCCAGTTGGTTGTAACAAAACCAGTGCCAATAAAACACACACACACACACAAAATTTTTCTTAGTATTTCATTGCTTTATGTGTCAAATTTTTTTTATGAATATATCCCTTTGGTTGTTCTTTTTGTTTACCAGTGCTTCTGTTCTATTGGGAAGTAGTACAATAAAATCTACATAGTGATTAGGGCGCCGATAAAAATACCCTTGTCCTATATCTGTTACCAGGATCATTTTTCTCTTCATATTTTTGGTGTAATTATAGTGAAATTTTTTATAGCTCTTAACATATTCATTTGTACATTCTTGCTATTTACATTAATTAATTACACAGGACCACTATTTTTGGTTATGTATTATGCTACAGTGAAACCTGTGTTAAAACATAATTTCATGGTTATGAGAACCAATTTATCCCTTTAGAGGAGATTTCATGTAAACCCAGATTAGATCTTATATCTTAGAATATGCCAGTAATCCGAAAAAACTTCTGTCATACACCAGATTCTGTATTAGATAGGATCTGTTGCTTCGCTTTTTCTTTTTTTTGCCTTCCCTTCTAATAATAGTTCTCATTCTGATTCTTCATAATGATTCTAAACAAGTACTGTCCTTATTCAGTACCAATATTTGTCTGTATTAATTGTGGTGCAGCCACAATAGACCTCTTTGATTAGTTTATCAATATATGGAAGATTTTATGTTACCCAGGTTTGATTTTTATCTTACAATGTGCTAGGAATTCACAAAATGTCTGTCTCATACAGAATTCTGTAGTATCCAGGGTTTAGGTAAAGGTTACACTCTGTAGTTTGAATTTATTCCTTTCAGAGTATCAAAATTTAATTTTAATCTTTGCACACTTCAGATTTAATTTTTAACTTAAATTTGTTTATTACTTAAAGTTCATAGAGCTTTTGTCCTATTTTGTTATAAAACAAAAACATATCGTCCCTACCATTTCCAACTATCGAATGTGAAAAATCGGGTTTTTCAGATTCGATACCTTGTCCTTGCATTAAATGTGATACACCTTGTAGCAAAATATCGAAATCGTAGCTTGATCAGAAACGCGGGAAATATTCTGTCTAAACCATCGAATATGAACATTTTGTCATTTTGTTTTGGTCAAAATATCGAATATGCTGCAAACTGACGAAAATGGAATATTCGATATTTTGTTTTGTATAAATATAACTAAAGGCATATATATGTACAATGCAAAATGACGAATGTGTCACATTCATTATCTTCAGTGTTGTATTTGAGACAGTTATTCAATTATAATATGCAAACTGTCGAAAATACTAAACATTGCTGACAAGAACAAAACGCACGTGTTCACAATTTGTGAATTATTGCTTCCAAGAAGTTCTTTCGGTGAGGCACTTAATTATTTTGTTTTTTAATGTGTTACATACATTAGTTTCAGAGTTGCAATTGATACAGTTATTCAATTATAATTTGCAAAAAATTAAAAATACTAAACATTGCTGACAAGAACAAAACGCACGTATTCACAATAATTGTGTGAATTATTTCTTCCAAGAAGTTCTTTCGGTGAGGAACTTTATTATCTTGTTTTTATCGGTTTTTCATTATCTGATTATTATGTTAACTGGGTATAGCTAAACCAAAAACAGTGATGTTGTCAAAGCGAGAATTATTTAAAAAAATATTAAAGAATGCTGCCTTTGGGACGTCGTCCACACAGTGTATATGGTACCTTCTTATCTCTTGAAACCATACAAAAAAGAGGCAAACAAAATAGTATAAACTTTGTTAAGGCATACGACGAAATACTTTCAATCACGGATGTGAAGAAAAAAAACCTCTTGTCACTATGTACCTAGGCCATACCACCAATATTACCAATCTTTACCAACATCTAATACTGCCAGAGATTGTCTTCCTGAACCTGACGCAACTGAAGACAATGATAACGTTGAATCTAAAATTTAAGACTTTACTTTAATTTATCATTATTTTACTACTGATTACTTGAGGTATCTACAGGGCGTGAAGTTCCATAATTGTATTGTGATTATTTTTAACTTTTCTAATTACATTAGTTTTCGATCAATACATGCTTTCATAAAAATACTTTTAATAATTTCTTTATACATGATTTTTCCATTTTACCCTATAACTTAAATTTTTAATTAAATATTTTGTAATAAACTTTGTAAGAACATTAAGATTATTTTCATTTTCCTCCTTTTCAATTAAGAATATTAATGTGTTAAAATTAGACCAATATGAACTGTCGAAAATGCCACATTCGCAATTTTGAAACATTGCACCAAATAAATGTGCTAAAATTATACAAATATGAACTGTCTAAAATGCCACATTCGCAATTTTAAAACATTGGACCAAAACAAATCGTTGATTAACACAAAAAGCAAAATAACGAATGTGATTTTGTGGAAAGAAGTAAACGGTAAGCAGTTTTATTCTGATATCAATCTAACAAGGATCAAACATTAATTTTTAAAAATATAAAAAAATTTCCATTTGTCAAAGCGCTTATTTAGAATTCTCTAAAAAAGAGTTATTTTGCTCTCCTGAAAAGTACCACTTTTCACATTCGATAGTTGGAAATGGTAGGGACGATATATACATGGTAGTTTACATATCAAGGACATTGTTATTATCTCAATTTCCCTGTGCTCATATTTTAATGGCTTTAATAAATTAGATTTGGCAATTAAATTGAAGATAACATATTGAAGATATTGCATTTTTTAGTTGTTATTGATAAAGTACCTGCATTTATAGTATTATTGATAAGTAATAGTCAACAAGTACTCACTAACAAATACTTCATTTTTTATTCAGAATATTAATACCTACTTAAAACTTTGAAAGATAACTTTGTATTTGAAAAAGAAACATCTGTCTTTGAAAAATGATTCAACCCTACTAGCAAAGCATATGTCTATTGCTTTTACATTATAGACAAAAAGTAATAGCAAACAATATAAAACGGACACAATCATAAAACTTCGGAAAACATTAATCAAAAATAGATCTGTTAATATAATTTTGCAGTTATAAATTATTTCACAATATTTTTTAAAATGTAGTTTATAGATAAATAAGGGATTAACTATTATTTATTTAACAATAATATGTAAGCACTACGAGCCTAGTAGGACCATGGCTTGATGTACTATTCTGTTCTATGATATTTCGTCAGTTGCTTTTCTCTCCTAGTTCTTTATGTTAAGTCTTCTCATATCTTAAACTTCCTTGCTCTATCTTGACGTCAGTTTGCCTCTTCGCCTTTTGCCTGCCAGTGCACTAGATATAGGACCATTCTGGAAATTCTTGATGGAATCATTCTCTGCACATGGCTTAACTATCTAAGTCTTTGTTCCCTAATTATTGCTAATATGTTGGGTTTTTGATAGAGCTTGTTATTTATTCTTCTTATCAATTATCCCGATAAGTTTTTCCCACCAAAGATTTTGCAGAGTATTTTCCTCTCCCAAACTAATAACAACTCTTGCTGTTTTTTTTTGTAGTGACTCATGTTTCATAAGCATAAGTATGTTACTATTAGCATTATTATGGTCTTGAATGTCCTTAGTTTTGCTCTTTGAGATATAATTTTTCTTCTTAACAATCAATTCAAATCAAATTTCAAAATTCAATCAAAGAGCATATTATACACCCTGGTTGTGTGAAATAATTCTTTTCTGACATATTTTTTCTTCACAGTTAGGTTTTCTTGTGAAGACATTTCCTAAGTACTAATATCTTTCAACTTCTTTGAATATATATATTGTGTTCCCTTTGCTGTTGTCATTGTTATGTACTGCCCCAGTGCCCCTGAATGAATTGCTTATTTGTACATTCTATATACTTCGTTTTTGTTTCATTTCTATACAATCCTTTGGTTGCTGCCCTCTCTTAGATCTTCATGACTGTTTCCATCAGATCTATTTTGTTTCTAGCCAAGATTAACAAATCATCAGCAAATGCTAAGCACTGATGTTTTTTGTGGTAGATCAGATCTGTTCTATTAATGTTTGCTTCCTGTGTAACATTTTCTAATATTTACAACTTTTACATCATAGACAAAGGGTAATAGCAAACAATATAAAACAAATAGACAAATCATAAAGTCCAAAAAAGATTTAATCTAAAATAGATCTGTTGATCTAATTTTTCATTTATAAATTATTTCACAATATTTTCTAAAATGTAGTTTATAGATAAATAAGAGATAAACTAATACCTATTTACATTTTTTTAATATATTTTTTATAATTTGAGTTGTCACAATACTGATAGAATTTTAGGTAGTCAGAGTATGAATCATAGATATAAATAGTTATGATTCTGTTGTTGAATTCATATAATATAAATAAAGTTGAAACAATAAAACCAATACAAAGTTATAGTAAGACTATTGTCTTTTTTTTTTATTATACATTATCATTTTTGGTTGAATCTTGTTACAGGTATGACTGTTGTACAGTCAGTAAAATAATTATTTTTTGTGTAGTGAAAGTTTAAGTTTAAATTTCGTGGTATACTAAGGATATTGCTGATAATTTATTACCCTAGTCAATTTTTTACCTACTTTCAGATATATTATTATTCAAGACACCTAAAGTACATAATATGAACAACTATCAATAGCAGTTAGATGTTCTATTTTAAGCGCCTGTTTTCCTTCAAATAAAATTCAGTTGACTTTAATAATAGTGTACAATAACTGTTTTTCTCAGTGACCAAGGTTACAGTTCTTCTTGTATTCTGTTAAACAAGTGTTTA